TTTAGCTGATTAAAGATGTATTTTAGCTGATTAAAGATGTATTTTAGCTGATTAAAGATGTATTTTAGCTGATTAAAGATGTATGTAAGAATTAATAAAAACTTGAAAAGAACCGGGTCGTCGGAACCGTGTCGGTCTGAGGTTCTGACCCAGTTAAGGGTCAGGTGAGTTCCGGTCCGGTCCAGCAGGGGGCAGTAAAGGTGTTGCACTCCATTGGACCAGAGGAAGGAGGAAGTAGCTGAGCCGAACCAGCCGGTCCGACCCACAACTTCAGATATTAATGGTCCGAGTCGGACCGAGCGGTTCTGGACCAGGATGGCCCAAGTTGGACCGGAAGCGGAGCTGCGGACTCTGATGGAGGTCAGAAACGTCTTGAACCGAACTTTGTTTAGTTAGCCGTGATGCTAACAGAACCTGGTCCTCCTCAGTGCCGGTACCAGAACCCCACAGAGGCGCTGCAGGATCTTCACACGGTTCGGGCTCGGTTCTCCGACCTGCGGCTCTACGTGGACTTTTACTGTCAGTAAGAACTTCAGTCGTCTTGATTTATGACCAACTTTCAGAACCAGTGAGACCAGGTCCAACAGACCGAGATCATCCGGTTCTGACCCGGTTAGCCTACAGAAGTTTGGCAGCTTCCGATCAGAATCTTGTTTTTACAGAAATTCAGAACCAGTGAACAAACCGCCATGTTTGTCTGCCGCAAAGCATCATGGTCCGATTATTGGTTGATTGATTGGTTGATTGATTGATGATTGGTTGATTGGTTGATGGATGATTGATGATTGATGATTGGTTGATAATTGATGATTGGTTGAGCTACAACACGTGTAGAAACAGTCAGAGGCTAAATATACATTTGTTTTATAACAAGAGTTAAAATAATAAATATTTAGTTGAAAATCAAAATAATAAAACTTTATTTTGTCTGAACAAACAGAACCAGTGTAAACCAGTGAAAACCAGTGTAAACCAGTGAAAACCAGTGTAAACCCAGTGTAAACTCAGTGTAAACCCAGTGTAAACTCAGTGTAAACCCAGTGTAAACTCAGTGTAAACCCAGTGTAAAC